GAGTATCATCACTCAACAGCTTCATAAAAAGGCTGCTGGCTGACTTGTGCTCAAATCCTAATAGGGGAATAGGGCAGTGAAGTTAGAGGGATTTCTTGTTTTGCTTTTTTACATACAAGTTTATCAGCCTACAGGAAACGAAAACAAGCGGGGTTCGAGTGTCGGCTCTAGCGAGACAGCATGGAGGGAACCCCCAACTCCAGCCCTTGTTTAACCCCCCCACTCTTTTATGCTAAATTTGATCAACCTCTACATTTTTATTCTTCCAGCGTGTGCGTGAACGGTTGCGGCACCACCACAAACCCCTTCGTGCTGCAGCACGAGAGCAGAGGGAATGGCAGAGCCTGGTTTTTTCGGAGTATTCTGGGCCCAGGTACATGTGGAAGCCACTGCACAGCTCAGTGCCGTAGGGAAAAATGGCTTCCAACTGGGAAAGGCGGCATCGGCAACACTGGACAGCGCAGGGCAAGAGGCGGGAGGGTGCAAGATTTGGGCTTGGTGATGTTCCCTCCACCACCGACCCTCGTTCTTGGCCTCCAACACCGCAATGGAAATCCCCTCTTCCCCCGCCCGGGCCTCACCTCTCTAAATTTCCAGGCAGCTCCAGCCAGCAAACCCCCCCATCGCCACGCCGCTCTCGGGGAGGGTGGCAGCCCCCGGCTGAAGCGAGGGAAGAACAGCGAGCAGCCTGCCGTGTTAGAAAGGAACATTTTATTGCAAGAGATTACAGACCCGGCACTGCGGCCAAAAACGTTCCCGTTACATCGAAATTGCTACCCATGTACCAGGCAACAGCACCTACACAGCATGGTGGATCGAAATGTCTGAAATCATAACGGTCAGCTTATTTAAGTACCACTCTAAGAAGATTTTTTTAAAAAACAAAAGTAAAAACTATATAAACCCTTTTTTTTTTTTTTTAATATGAAACCGGTGTTTGAACAGGCCGTTAATTACTGTGGTAAAAAGTGGGAAAGTCTGTTAACCATAGATCAGGCTTCTTTCACAGCCCTTACCATTTAGTTAAAATCAAGTACCTGTTATTCAGTTTATTTTTCCACAACTTGTTCAGCCAACATTTATCTTCTGTAGGTTTTCAGAAGCAGGCACATTTAATGAACAGCCCCTCTTTAAAGCACCAATACCTGCAGGATAATCCAGAACTGGCCCAGAAAACGCAGGGGTGTCAGCGCAGCGTCGCAGGAACCGACCTCCCCGTCTCAGTCCCGTGACGCTGCCCTTGCGGAACTTTGGATGGATGTGCCTCTCCGAGCCCCAACTCACGACTCGCACCCCTCCTGCGATCCACTTACCTCAAGGACCTCGGTGATTCCCCTGAGCGTGGCTGAAAAAGTTGGACTTTGACCAGGCAACACGGCTCAAACACGGACAGTCAGGCCCAGGACATAACCCCCAAGTGCTACAGTCCCCACCTTTGGGGCATCGGGCGCTCGCTCTCCCTCCCTCCGCAGCGGCTGGTGGTGGCTGCTGCCTGGCCAGCTCTGCTTCAAGGGCAGCAGTTGGATCTGCGGGCCGGGCTGGACCGCCTCAGCTTGTGGGAGCGGTCCCCTCCTGCAATTCACACGATCCGTACGGCGGCAAACCGGAGGAAATGCCCAGGGATCTTTGCGAGCCACTTGCCTCCACCTCCCATTTTCCATGCGTACAGCCTGAACACGCTACTGCCCGGCAGCGGCCACCGCAGGGACTTTAAAAACCCTGCCTTTCCAGCAGAAACCGCTTTTCAAGCAATGCAAACAACGGGTTTTATTTTTAAGACGATTTGGAAGTATCACTGGGACTAGGGGATATAGGCAATCATCTTACAAAAGTTAGGGCGTGGTCTTCTACAATTTCCCAGGCTTCTCTAAGCATTCTGAAAATTCCTTGGTAATTTTCCAGAGGCCGCTACTTAAAAGAGCTTTACCAGAAACTAGGGTAACGCCAGAAACACCCAAGATGGCATTAAGGAACCAAAATGAACCAAGCAAAAATCGCTATGCCACCACAGCCCTTACCCCGAGGCGAGTGGACCAACGCTCGTGGTTACTCGTGCGGTTCTGGATGTCCAGCTCTTTAGCAAAGACCACCACAAAGCCTCTCAAGCCACAGGTCTCAAAACATGAGATACATATAACGAAGCGACTGATTTAACTAACTCTCTTCTACCAGATTATTTAAGAATCTCTGTAGCACCGGAAAGGAGGATTTGTATGTCCTTGTAGGTAGTGACAGAAGGTCTGTATTGCCTAACAACAGAAGCCGAGAAAACAAACAGCCCCACGTGAGGAGTAGAGGCTGAAGAAAGCTTAAGGGTACTCCATCATTATTTAAAAAAACCCAACAAACCACCAAAAAACAAACAAGCAAAATCCCACTAACCAAAAAACCATTCGGTCCCTATCAACCCTATATGCAACTGATTTAGTATCAGAAGAGTCCTAGAACTTCTGTACATATTTCAAACTACTCAGCCAAGGATCCGATGGGAGCAGGGCACCCGGCCAGAAAGCCAGCACCAAAAAACTGCTGCTCCTCATCAAAAGGATCTCATTTTGGAAACTCGCCAGGCCTAGAGCTCCCTGCTCTTCAGACACAACCCTTGCATTTTAGTGTTACACAAAGCAGCTCGCTATTGGGGTTTAATGCATTAAATAGAATTAACTATTTTTATTATTATGAACCTAATAAAGAGTTTTTTGCTACTGCTAAATTCCGCACGGTATGGCTTCACCTTACAAGCATTCTTAACAACACTAGATAAATATCATTTGCACTTAGATCAATTTTTCCATCTGTTCAAACAGCCACAAAATACAGCGCCCTCACGAGCACCTTTTTTGGTGAGAAGGGTAAACAAGCACTCTATTAAAGCATCAGAAACATTCAAGGGGATTCGATCGCTTCCCTCTGTTCTCTTTCGAGACATCGCCGTACATCTTCCGCTTTCACAGCGTAGAAAAAGAACCCCACAATCCTCCACGACTTTAGAAATTCGTTAGTCCGCATCCACATTATCTATCTGCAATACACTTCAGCATCCCAGTTATCTTTCCTAAAATCTCTTTTTTTTTTTTTCCTCCAGCCTTTAAGCTTACTGATGTCGATTTTTCCAGTTAAAAAAAAAAAAGGAATAAATTTTGACAATAAAGCTAAATAATAAAGCAACTTGTACAGTAAACCACTCGATCGCAGTAATTTAATGATAGCCTTGGCAGAGCTAGGCCAGCCTGGTCTCGGGACTCGGTCCCGCCCGGCTGCGCAGTCTTCGCCCATCTATTTTACCAGAACCTTAACAAGCCCGGTGTGTCAACTCCGAACTGCGCACATAGAGGAAGACAGACATTTATTCATATTTTCCACCAATCAAATGTAATGCGTCTGTGAACAAGTCAGTTTATTGCAAGTAAATGTACTTTTACTTAAGATCATGAGAAGATGCTAATCCCAAGCAAGACAAACCAATTTCACAAACTTAATTCACACAATGCAAATAAACGCTTCACATTATAGACATTTAGATTTTCTTTAAACCTTTTTATTTAGAGATTTTTCTGGTAAGGAGATATACCATAGGAAAGCAATTTCACTGGCAGTGAGGTATGTATATACTCTACCAAAATACTCCTCTTGTTTTAACTGCTTTTAACTTTATTTACATATAAAGAAAATATCAATGCATATCCTTGGCTTAACTACAGTATCTGTTACCCTATATGAGTAAAATGAAATGTTACTTGCATACAAAATCGATTTGTAGAGGAATCTGATTGGATTTAAACAAAAATCATGTTCTGAAGACAGTTTCAATGAACAAACACAATTCATCATGACCAAGACACCTGCACCATATTTCCATCCTCACAGCACATTTATTTCAGTAATTCTGTAAGTAGGTCCTTAGCATGAGCATAGTGTTACAGTTTTCATACATATAATCACATCCAAAACAAGCTCTAAAATTTAAGTTGTAAACATTCTCTTCATATGTAGAAACATTTCAATCTGTGTTTGAATTTTCTAAAATGATCAATCTTTTAAACAGAATTATAAATGAGAAGTCTACTCTAACCGTGTAGTGAGCAATGCTTATTAGTACATTTCTACAGTGTTAAATAAAATAAGAGAGAGGCAAACTTCTGTAAGCAAGTCAGACTTTTAAGTAAATCATCATAAAGAAACAAACTTGTTAACAAAAAGATGCTTTGTAATAAAGAAAGTTGGATTGAATCTACTATGATACAAAAACATAAGGGTAAATACCATCTTTGTTGACAAGTAGGAGGTAGCATGGATGCACCACTTTATTGTCAGTGAGAAATGCAACTGAAGTAAAGAATATTTCCTTACCACAAATTTCCAGTATTATGTACATATTTCTCTTAGAAATTTGTTTAAACAAGTTTCCCTCCACTTTTTAGTACAAAAAGCCTCATGTGATTTAAAAAAAACACTTACACACCTAGATAGAATAGTACTAATTGCCCTATTTGAATGAAACAGTCTCTTGAACTATGAAGTACATGATATTTAATGCCCTAAATTGAGTAAATTGTATTAGCAGTTCTTGGTATTATACAAAACACTACATACATACAAACAAAATATAATAATATCTTATTTTACTATGCAATTCTTTTTTTTTTTTTGGAATAAACAGAGCCTTGATTTGGGTAACACTGAAGAGAACATGTTTCTTTGTTTTATTAAAATCTGTCTTTTAAGTACCCATGTGCAACAATTTAAAAATGGCTGCCATACATGTAATGGTCTTGTATTGATAGTGAACACAGTAACTGACAAAAACATAATAAACCTTAAAAACACATCTTCCACCCTATATAAAATATAAAGACTACTTACTGTAACTGTTAAGTATTCAATTTATTTTGATGTTACTGTAATCCACTTCCTCTATTTTTCTGTCTTTAGCATTTATAAACATAATTTAGTGTAGCAATTTATTTTTAAAAAATGACAAAGTATTTCAAATTTACATCCAATTAAAATTTAAACTGTTTCCTTGTTCTATGATGCTGCTTCTGCCATCAGTAAAGAAAATGAAGTTTCAGTAATTGAAGCAGGCTTTTTAAGTAGTGATGTGACTTCAACCATGCCAGCTCCAGTCCGTGGAAGATTTGCGTTGACAATGTGTCGCTGCAAGTGCTTTATCCAGTCTTCTTGAACAGACAAAGGTCCTCGAAAGACCAGACCACAAAACCTATGCAAACATTAAAATTATTCCATCAAGATATATCTAGCTCTACGGAAAAATTGTAAAATAAAGACATGAAGTGGAAAGACGTAATTTTCTTCAAGTTTGTTTCTACAGATTTTAGCTGAAAACTTTAGTAATTAAGAGTTCATTTCTAGTAACTGTGAGCACAAAAACCCTGCAGTTTATACAACTTACATTTTTAACGCTAGCAATAACAGTCTGTTGTTCTTACGTAAGGTTTCTTTCGAAAGACAGAATATTACTCAGACATGACCAGTAAGATTTTAGCTAGAGAAACAGTTGGCAACCTAATATTGGATGGAGTATGACCGATTCAAGTCCTCTTGTTCAAATTAATGAAAATAGGCAACTGCTTCCCCCCCTTATTATTCAATTTAATCACAAACACATTAACAGGATAAAATCTTAAATCTTCTTATGACTAACACGAGCGAGCTCTTAAGAATGTGTTCTTTCAATTAAAATAACCCTGTGTACCTGCATCTGAGTATGTAAACTTCATCAGCACTATGAGGTAATGGCAGCATTTTTTTCTTGCTTCCAGATCTTGACCTTGACTTCTTTTGCTTACAGTCTAAAGCTAAGAAGAGAGAAATTTCCATATGTGAAAGTGATACTTCAATGAGTGTTAACCAAACAGAGATATTTAGTAAGCATCCCCTATAGCAGCAGTGAAAAGACATCTACCTCCTTGTATTTCTACATTTAGTTATAATGCAAATCCAAAACAATTACAGTGTGCTCTAAGAAATTTCCTGGCAAAACACACGAAGCTTTTTTTTTTTTAGTTCAGCACAGCGCTTGCTCTTTAAAAGACTAGATAATTGACATTCAGCATTAAGCTGTTGTTTTAGTATCAGCAAGCACCTACTAACCTATTGCAAAATTATACAGAAGCAAACCACCATTGGAATTCCCTTTCATGCATAAAACGTTGTCAAAATCTTGGAACTTGTTTTGTGGCTCAAGTACCATCGTTAAGTCCACTCGTGTTCAACCAAGTTACAACTTCACAAAGTTGTAGCTTTCAGCTACTACAATCAAGAATTTCTAGTTTGAATAAAACACCTGCCATTTCTTCATCAACATAATGCGAAAGTTTGTGCTTTTATTCTAAGAACTGCAAATTAAGCTTCCCCCTCACTCCTGTCTGAATTCTAATGCATCTTAGAAAAAATATGTATTAATCCTTGGCAGTAGGAGCTGGTATTAGGACAATCAACAGGAATGGCAAGGCCACTTTTTAAGTTCAGTCTAAGCATTTGAAACTACATATGAAAATAATGTGTGTGAACAGGAAGCGCATAGCAAATGGGTTCAGTCAACACTGAGGTCTGTACCTCCCATGAACAGATGTAATAGGAATCTGTAACAAAACCTGGAGATTCTAAGCAGCAGCCGAAGTTGGGGGATGTGGGGATTAAACTGAGTTAATATTGTTATGATGAAAACAGCTGATAAAGCTCAAGAAAAAACCCAAGAAGTTCGGGACTGCTTGAACTGAGAAGTGTATCTAGCTACGCTCTACTCCAAATACAAGACACCGACACTAAAACTCCACAGAAACCTGGAAGACAGTAACAAGGTGGTATTCTTGAAACCAAAAAGGCATAACGCTATGTTACTGAAGCATATTAACAGTAAAATTAGGAAAAATCGTTACACTTGTCTAAGTTTTGACTCCTGTAATATAAACCAGAAGAATAAATCTCTTCGTATTCTGAAGCACGAGACATCATCTGGTGAGGCAAAACACGCTGATTTAAAGAACACACAGTCTTGATTGCATCCTTGTTTTTCCTTATGTCCTTCAAATGAGCGCCACTCAATCTCTGACCCTGTAGCCAGACTTTTAACTTGTAGATACATCAGACATTTCCCCAGTTCCATCCCCAGATGTAAAGATTCCTACAGTAGCTAGAAAAATGGGAGTGAATTTTTGAGGTTTGAAGGTACCAGGGAACTAATCAAACAGGTAGAAAGTAGATACCAACCTAAAGAAGCTTCCTTCAGACCCTGGGTCAAGCCATCATTAGGAAGACAAGGCTCAACAGCATTTTTTTTTCTTTTTTCTGCTAGCAGCAATGAAAGCAGCCTGGACATAAAGGCAGTAACCCAAAGTGGCAGGGGAGAGAGAGAGAGAAGTGGGCAAGATAATTTCTGGAAAAGTGAATAGGTAGGGGGTTCTTAATGCTTTATGCTCTCATCAAAAGCATATTCTTCATATAATTAGGAAGAAAAAAGCTGACTACCTTTCAGACTGTACGAAGTATCAAGTAGTATAAATATTTTACATACCGCAACATCAGTAACATCACCAGAAATGTAAGCAGATAAAATACCGAAACCCAGACACTCATTGCCTGAAGAGAATGTTTGCATGAGGGCGACTTATCTGAAGCAGATATTGCAGCAAAAGCTTTGCCATTGCTGATTTTGCAGAACGTTATGGGAAGGAGGGAAACAGAAGTCAGTATTATCCGAATGCAAACACATCCATGAGTTGCATCTGATGGCAGTTAGTTGATGTCAGTTGATACGAGTTAAAAAAAAAAAAAAAAAAAAAAAAAAAAAAAGGCAGTAGACAGCAGCCTCCTTCAGAGACGCCTACATGCATGTGAGACAAGAACTAGCATATTTCCTTCATGTCAGAAAACTTAAGACACTCATTCCCATCAAGAAATTTGATTCTACTCCCATACATCCCAAGCATTTCAGAGAGCTTTCACATTCTTACTAGACCCGAATTGGTCTTCTGCAACAGAGTTCCCGATATCTAATGTTTTTCTGTGTATGCAATCTTAAAACACCAAACACCACCCCTCTCCTCTGCACTACCATGCCATCAAATAGACAGTAACACAAACAAACTGCCATAATGTACCAGGGGAGGTAGTTTCTACTTTCTTGAAAGGTACCTTTTTCAACAACAATGAGAACACAAGGAAAACAAACGAACGGGCATCTTCTCTAAGCCATTTACGACGGAGGCTCTAGATCGAGAAATTACAAAACAAAGAATAGAAAATATAACAGTAAAAGACTTCAAGAAAAAAAAAAATCCGATCACTCAACGCATTCTTAGAGTAACTTAGCTAAGACTGGGAGTAGATTTGCCCAAGCAAGAAGCTGTTACAAAAGACAGGAATACTAAGAACACTGAACCTGTGTTCTGCAAGGGGTATTTTTTTGTTCCCTTTGTCTTTTGACCTAGCGAACATATTCCTTCACATTTTAGGGGGCACAACGCAGCACAAGCACATTTTGAAGTTACTCCAATGAAGCAGGAAAAAACCGCGGAGAAGGAGTAACATTTGGGTCAAGCTGATTGAAAAAAGTAATTGCAACACCAGTCAGAGACGTGTACCAGTAACTGCCACATTAATGTCATTTTTGTCTATCCAGAGCATAACAAGTTTAAATGAAGCCACATGCACACACTCAAGTACTCTGTTGATACAATGCGTACAGGTGCGTGCAAGCACCAAGTCAGTCACACCATTGCCTTGCCCGTAAGAAAGCGCAGCCATGTTCTGACCGAAACTCAGTCACTGTTCTTCCAACGGCTTTACTGTAACAAACCATGACCTCAGAATGTAAGTTTTTAGCACTTTAGGAAGAGACCAAGGAAAATTTAGCTCCAGTAACCTGCATGGAAGTTGCAGTGAATTGCCAGAGAGGCAGGAATTACCTGCCATTAACGCCTACTCTGTGGCTATCCCAGCTCCCAAATCATCGTCCTTCATTCTCCATTAAGGGCCAGTTCTTTTGGGAAGAAGCTGCCTTCTTTCAAGTTTGGCCACCTGGTGTTTCCTAGTCCCTGTTCCAAAAACCTTTTGTAGACAACCAGTTACACCACTTCATCAAACCTCTGATACAGCATGACGGAGAAACAACCCATTTAAAAGAAAAGACTATCAAACTTTGCAGGCATCTCCTTCAGGCACTCAACTTCAATTTCAGAGTACACTATTTAGAAAAATATATGCTAAGTCAAAAGGCTGCATATAAAAACATTCTTTACCTCTGCGATCGCTTATCAAGAAAGACTACAAGCAGATGGAGATAGGAGGCTAAAATGAGCATACCTAAGACAACATGAATTAGAAAAGTCACAATTAGAAGTCCTTCATGCTATGAAATTTGGTCTGAGGTTGAAAATTAAAGTGCACCTATGCTAATTTGCATGCTCTGCTTCTTGATGTCCCTCAACATGGAACACTTCTCATTTCAGGAAGACTGAAGCTGGGTCTTCATTCAGACTTCATTACTTTTGTCACAGCCTATGTAAGTTAACACAAGTCGAATAACTGCACGCATAAATGGATCTAATTAACCATTTAAAAACACTACCAATTCAAAAGTAAAAAATAATCCCCACCAGTAATTTGCTCCCTGAAGGATTTTATAGGGTACTAAAAATTAGCTCATCGTGCCAGTTGATCGGTTTTAACTGTAACAGCACAGAATAAAGACGCACAAAGCCAGCGGATCTCAGACTTCTGCTGTAGCTGCATATGCTTCCACAGTAAACGTCCCGAAGCTACAACTTTGACAAAGCAACATTAGAAATTATTTGGAAGCATGGTGGTCGCATGAAGTGCTACCTCAGTCACACTTTTGGCTCAAAGGCCAGACTCCTTGCTCTGTATTTTATTGTTCTCTTCCGAACTTCTGAAAAAGCAGTCTCCATCTACAGCAGCAAAGACCAAAGAAGAGAGTGGTGATCCCCAGAAGATGACAGCCAGCAAGAAGAGACGGAGTATGTGAAAAGAGTCAAAGAGAAGATGTAAAAAGCCAGGGTGCAAGAAAGTATCGAGAGACTCTGGGGGTGAAAAGAAGCCTAGAGAGAAGAAAAGGAAGGAAGCTGGATATACAACTGTACCAAGAAGAGCGAGATGCATTTTGAAGATTTTGCGTAGGTCTGTCCAATGCTCGAATCAGAAGAAAGAAGCAAGTTTGCCACATGCTCCAAGAAACACGAATGTGTTGCTATTCATCAAAACAGGTATAAAAGGAAATTAGCATCTACTCAAGATGAGCAATTAAATCATTACATTGTTCAACATTGGACTGCGTAACAAAACTGAAGTTCCAGTCAGACATCGGAAGACCATCTTGCAAGCACCAATACAAAAGTACATAACTATCCAAATGCACCCAAACGGGCATTTGCTATACAGTGGATCCATACTGCAGAACTACAGGCACAAATTAAGTTTAACAAATACTGATCTTCAACAGCCAACAGCCTAGAAATTTTCACTTCTAGGATGTTTTTCTTGAGTCCATTCTCAAAATTTACCATTATGCTTAACTATGTCTATTATACCACTGAAACTGTCAAGTTGCAATTGGGGAAAAAAAAAAAAAAGGCTAAGATTTACCTAAATCTGCTAGAAAAGCAGTATGAGAATAGTCAGCACTGAAACTGTCAAGTTGCAATTGGGGGAAAAAAAAAAAAAAAAAGGCTAAGATTTAGGTAAATCTGCTAGAAAAGCAGTATGAGAATAGTCATGCTGAAACTGTCAAGTTGCAATTGGGGAAAAAAAAAAAAAAGGCTAAGATTTACCTAAATCT